GGGTCCTGGCAGCAGAGGGAGCAGGGGCCCCGTGGGACTCGGCGGCAGGGCCGTGCTCTGGCCTCGGAGTGGTCGTCTTTCCTGTCCGAGCCCATTGGCTGGGACGGGCCACACGGCCGGCCAGCCTCAGGGCCAGGGAGCTGAATGTGACCACGTGCCAGGAAGGCAGAGGCTGGCAGAGGATCAGGGCCAGCAGCATCGTAAGGCGTGTGCACATCTGTTCATTACTGAGCGTCTCTCTCAGCAGCGCCAGCTCCGGCCGGCCGCATTCTCTGTGTGTTCACCCCCGGGCCGAAGGCTGTGCAAGGGCAGAGCAGGTGCTCAGGAAACCACTGCTGAGGAGGGACTGCGTGAATGAATCAACAGAGTCTCTGAGGAGTGTGGGGGGGCGGGGACAATGTGGGGGGCGGGGACAATGTGGGGGGCGGGGACAGTGTGGGGGGCGGGGACAATGTGGGAGGGGAGGCTGGTGGCTGTGGGAGCAGCTGTGGCGAAGGGACCTCGTGGGTCTTGGGTGCAAATTTTACCGTCTTTTAAGAGCCTGTTGCCTCAGAGACTCTCATGCCCACTCCTCAGTTACGGTGGGAAACGCTGCAGGCCGCAGTGTGAGGGTAGGGGCCTGTGTGACGGGCAGAGCTGGGAGGCTGGGCGCTCGGGGTGGGAAGACCAGCAGGCTAGCTCTGGCAGAAGGCCCAGCCAGGGCTTGTCCGGGCGGCCGGCGGGGCAGACAGTCGATGGCTGGGGCCCAGGGCCAGGCCCAGTGACCGGACGCTCGGCTGAGGGTCACGGCTGGTCTGTGTCCGCAGAGCAGGGTGATGAAGTCTCACCAGTGAGGACGTCCTGACCTGCATCCCCTCAGGGCAGGCCGGCAGCCCAGTGCCCAGTGAGTGAGGGGAGGCCCTGTGTATGGCCTGAGGAGCTGAGGGGCAGGGGGACGGCAGTTCTCGCTGGGCCTGCCCTGGAACTTCCACTGGCTGCCCAGCCCCCGCCCAGGCCCTGCCTTTGGAAGTCCCTTCTCCGTTCTCGGGTGCGTGGGGCGCCCAGGGGTATGGTGTGCGGCTGGGGTCACTCTTTCTTCTGCTCCTGGCGCTGTCACCTGGGCCTGGTCAGGGCTGACTCTCCTCGGCATCGGCAGGCGGACTCTCCCCGGCTGCCCTGCGAGGCCCAGGAATTCCTGGTGCCCACACCCAGCGCTTCAGCGCTCAGCACTCTGAGCACCTCCTTTCCCCAAAGCCCGCCCTCCAGGCTCCTTCTCTGCAGGTGGGCGATGCCCGTGCGTGCGGCTCCGGGACAGGAGGCGCTCTTGCTCCATGAGGGCGTGCCGCGCCGATGTGCCCGGTTCTCAGTGGGCTCCCCTCCCGCCGGCCGCACCTCCTGCTCCTCAGGCAGTGTCTCTGCCGCGGAGGCCCTTGCGGCTCGGCAGGTGAGGGTGTCGGTGGGCCGGGCAGACCGGGCCTTTGGAAGCTGCCTCCTCTGGCCGGCTCTCTGACCACACATTCCTGCTCGCACAGCCGTCGTGTTCCTGAAAGCCCAGCTGCTCTTCGCCTGAAGAAAAGCGGTGCTGAGAGCCGGTGCCGAGGCCTCAGGCAGCTGGGGTGGAGGGCCCGGAGCAGGCAGCCAGCTCCAGGGTCTGCCCGCCCCGTGCATGGTCCCTGCTCCCTGGCTGAGGGGATGAGGCAGGCCGGCGGGCTCCAAGGTCTGAGGGCCCTGGCCTGGGCGGGGCTGGCAGCAGAGGTGGCTGCAGGATCCCACCTCGTCCTGCTGCCGGGCCTGGCTGTGGGCAGAGCAGAGGGCAGGGTCAGTCCAGCCTGAAGCCTGGACTCAGTGGCAGACAGGGAGGCACAGCAGCTCCCTGTGCCTGGCTTCAGGTCTCTCCTGGCTCTGATGCTCAGAGGGCATTCTCATCTCTGAGCCTCATTTTCCTCATCTGTGAAATGGGCATAAGGGCCCAGCCTTGCCTCCCTCCCAGTAATAATCTCTAGTGTTTGCTGAGGGCCCCTGTGTTTTAAGCACTTTGCGGGGACTCACTAATTCAGTCCTCTCTGTTGTTGCTGTGACTATAGAGGGTGGGGGGAATTGAGGCCTGGAGAGGCCTCTTGCTTTCCTAAGGTCTCGCAGGATGGCAAAGCTGGGTGGCACAGCCCCGGGCAGGCTGGGTGGCACAGCCCGGCCAGGCTGGCTCCAGGGTGCACTGGGAGCTTCTGTGCTGTGCCAGCATTGGGGAAGGGATGGCAGAGGTGCTTCTAAACACACGCTCACAGCGAGTTCTGTCAGGGGGCCCTGGGTTCTGCCAGGGGACCTGGGGCAGCTGCAGTGGTTGACAGCCATCCACTTGGCTTGGGGTGTCGGCCTCGTGCAGGTCAGGGTAGGGTTCACTCCTGCCTGTTGTGAAAAGCCTTAAACAAAGCACTGGCCCAGGAGACTGAGCCCTAAGGGGGCCAGGCACCCCCTCTCCTCTCGGGGTGTGTGGGCTGGACCGGCTGCTGTCAGCCTGGGAGCCAGTGATCCCGGGCCTGAGTGTGTGCCGGCAGACTCACCAGACCATGGTGTGTGTGGCTGCAGGTCAGCACGGCAGCCTGAGAACAGTCAGGCTCTAAACATACGTGTGCATGGACACAATGCACATGCCTGCCCACACATGTGCACTCACATGCACACGGGCCTTTGCACTGGCATCAAACGCCCTCCCTCAAATACCCACGTGACTTCGACCTTCGTTTTCTTGGGTTCTTACCTCCATTGTCACCTGTGAGAAAGGCTTTCCCCGGCCCCTCTCTCTGACAGCCCCTGCTCCTCCCTCTTCCATTTCCGACCGGACCTCGTCCATCTAACGGCCCTGCATCACCTCCATTGACGTGTCTGTCTAGATCGGGAGCCACGGGGGCCGTGGTCACTGTCTGTCTCCAGTCCTCAGCGCTCGCTACACGTGGCAGGCTGTCACTTAATGCCTATTGGTAGGAGGAGTCAAGAGGGAGTGTGCTATGTACTTGTCTTTCCGCAGTGCATGAGCCTCCTGGTCACCCCAGCTGGGGCGGGTGTTCAGCTCCTAGTAAGCGTTCTCCCTCCCAGGCAGAGACCCTGCTGGCACAGGCGGAAGAGGGGCCGGTGTGCTCACCAAGATTCACAGGTGCTTGTGTTCCAAGGGTGATGTCTGCAAAAGGCACAAAGGGTGTAAGGTGAAAGGTCTCCGCCCAGGCCTGCCCCAGCCGTGGCTCCCTCCCAGAGACGCCTCAGCCGTGCTGTGGAGGGTCTGTGTGTTTACAGCCGGGTATGCACGGCCCCTCACCAACAGCGGCGCCAGGGCTGCCCCTGCTTCTCTGTTGCTGTGGTTTTGGGCCTGTGTCTTAGCGAGTGGACCAGAGCAGGGCCTGGGAAGCTGCCTGCTCTTTCTTGCAGCTGCACAGAGTTCCTCGTGTGGCCATCGCTTCTTCACCACGTTGTTTCCAAAGTGTTCTGTATGAGGGTCTGCAGTGAGTGAGCACAGAACTGCAGCGAGAGGGGCTCAGCTGCCCAGACAATCCAGTTCCCTCACCGGGGCTCCCCAGGCCTCCCAGGGGCTGGGTCCCTCCCCACGAGTGAGCTCACGGGCTCTGCTGGGACCATCGCAGGGCCGAGCGGGCCCCGCCTTTTCCTCGGCGGAAGATGTGTCTGACTCTTCCTGGGGGTGAGGACGCCAGAGGCACAGGCTCGGTGGGCACCCGAGTGTCCTGGGGGTGTCCCCAAGCCTCCTGCCCCAGCACATTTTCCACCTCCGTTGCTGCAGGGACGAAAGCTCTGGCCACAGGTGTTTGTGGCCAGGATGGAATCTCAGTGATTCCGTAGGCGGATACATCTTAGGTTTGACATTAGCCCAGATCACTATGCCACACTTCGCCCTGTCAGCCTGGGCAGCCGAGGGCAGGGCAGAGGGCACAGGAACAGTGCGTTTGGTGTGCACAGAGGCGGGAATGGAGAGCGTGGAGCACCGAGCACCCTGGGGAGCCCGGGCGGTGTGCCTGTGTGGAGACACGGGGGCCAGTGTGGGCCGGGAGGGGGGGACGCCAGGAGGTCTGCACAGGCCTTTACAGAAGCTTTGGAGGTTCAACCCCAGGAGGCAGGCAGCCTGAGGACTCCCTCGCATCTCCCCTTTGCTGGGGATGGGGGGTGGGGAGGCGGGGGCTGTGGGCCCGGAAGGTGCTCCAAGGCTGCGGTAAGTGGGAGCTGGGCAGCAGGCCTAGAGCCTGTGGGACGGCGGGCCCTGCCCCTCTGTGGGAGAGGGGTTCCCAAAGGCCCCCCACTCTGGCCTCCTGGGATCCCATCCACGGGAGGGCAGGGTGGGGCTGGGGGCAAGGGGAGCTGGAGCCTGCGTCCAGAGGGAGCTGTGGGGACAGGGTCTGCTGGGTGGTGACCCAGGGCTACCTCAGGGTCCCCTCTTGCTACATCACCCACCCCATCCCCAGTCAAACCATCCCACACACCAGGGGATTCCCCCGCTGGGATCTTCCAGCTCTTTATGGAAATCAAGGCCCCCAGAGGTCCCTGGGGTGTGTATACATGTGCATGTATGTGAGTGCGTATGTATAGATGCCTGTGTGCACATGTGAACACATGTGCATGTATGTATGTGCCTGTGTGAGGTTCCCGATGACTTCGTGGTGTGTGGTCGGGGGACCACCGGCCGCAGGACCCAGGTAAGCTGGAGGGGGGCTCAGTGCTGAGGTGCCAGGCCCAGCCCCACCCAGTGCCAGCCTCACTCCTGGGAGGGGGAGGCCCACAGTGGGGGCACAGGGCCAGGGAGAGCCGACTGGAGGTGGGTGGCATCAGGACCTGGGCTGCAGCCCGAGGCAAGGCCAGCCTACCCTTGGCCCACCCTCTTTGGGCCTCAGTCTCCTCCATGTCACAGGGTGCCCCGCAGGATTCGCGGGAAGGCTGGGGGACTGGAGGGAGGTCGTGTGTAGGGGTGTGGTACCGGATGGGCAGGGGGTGCCAACCGCCCCCATTAGTGGCCCCTCTCCCTCCAGATCCCCCAGATCAGCTACGCCTCCACAGCCCCGGACCTGAGCGACAACAGCCGCTACGACTTCTTCTCCCGCGTGGTGCCCTCGGACACGTACCAGGCCCAGGCCATGGTGGACATCGTCCGCGCCCTCAAGTGGAACTACGTGTCCACGCTGGCCTCGGAGGGCAGCTACGGCGAGAGTGGCGTGGAGGCCTTCATCCAGAAATCCCGGGAGGACGGTGAGTCAGGCGCCGCCTGCAGGGCCATCGTGGGAATGGGGCCTGTCTCACACCTCGCTGTCACTGCCCCCCGCCATCCGCTGGGTCCGGCCGGGGGGCTCTGCCCGCCCTGGGCCCTGCCCTGTGGGCCTCGGTCTCTCCTCTGAGCACTGGCTATGGCCTTGCCGGGAGCTGGGTGACTCCTGGGGGCGAGGGGCGGGTGTGAAGGACTTAGCAGAGGCGGCCAGGCTGGAGGGACCGGCAGTGTTCCTGGTGTGGGAGCTGGTGGAGCAGCCGCTGTTCTCAGGCGGAGGGGAGGGGCCGGGGGAGGGCAGGAGGTGCCTTATCTAAGGGGCTGTCGGGGGCCCGCCGGCAGGTTCTGAAGCGCGTTTGTGGGATCAGGAACCCGGAGTCCCAAGACGGAGCAGTCTGGTGGGTGCGGGTGGGGCCGTGGTCACATCTCGCTGCCGGCTCTGGCTCCGGGAAGCAGGTGCTGTGGGTGGGAGGCGAGGGCTGTGGGAGAGGGAACTGCTCTTCTCGAGGACCCCCGCCCCACACGGGCCTGCTTCCCGGGCTAAGCTCACTGCTGTCCCTGAATTGCGTCAGAAACTTGAGCACTCAGCCAGCGGCGAGCGGTAAGTGGCCGACATAACAAGGTTTCACCCTGGGTGGCCCTGCCCAGGGCGGGCAGCCCTCTGTGGAGGGGGAGGGGGCAGTGGCGGCAGCCCCACCACCCCGTGGAGATGCCCCTCCGCCCCCCCCTGGCTGCTCCCAAGGCCCCGTCCCTAAATAGCTCCTGTGGCAGCGCGACCTTGGGTGGCGCCTGTATATTTATACCCACCTAACCCGCACTCTAATTGCTTTTTCTAAGGACCACAGTGTCCAGAGGCTGTCGTCAGTAACACCCTGTGGGCATAATCCCGCTATAAATCTTGGATAAGCCTCTTTAATTGTGCAGCCAAACCCTCCGGGTGCCGGTGACCTGGCGGAGAGGGCGCCTGCGGAAGTGGGGCGGCACTGACTGATGGCGGAGGCTGTAGCCGCTCCCACTGCCTCCCACTCCGCAGCTGCACCAGCCTGCAGGGGAGGGGGCTCACCGAGCCGCTCCCATCTCCGGCCACTCCACTCCGCAGCCCTGCCTGCAGGGGAAGGGGCTGGGCTGAGCCCACTCCCACCGCTGCCACGTGGGTGGCAGTGGCAGACTGTGCTGCAGCCCTCCCCCTGGCTGCTGCCTGCCGCCTCCTTTGCTGACTCTGGGCGGCCCTCGCCCCTGCTCCCAGGTTTCTCTCCACACAATCCATGGCCTGTCTGTGGGGACAGAGGTCCTGGCTGGAGGCAGGGGCAGAGGCTCTGCAGCTCAGTGCTCAGTTGTGGTCAGCCCCTGCTGGGAGGGACCTGGCAGCCCCCCTAGTACTTCCTACCCCCTCCCCCCATGTGCCCAGCAGTGGGCTCCTCCAAGCAGTGCCGAGCACCTGTCTCATGCCTGTTGTCCTGGGCATCCCTCCTGCCTGTGAGGTAGGTGCCCATTTTACAGGGAGGACCCTGAGGCACAGGTCACATGGCGCGTCATTGGTGGGGAAGGGATTTGAACTTTTGAACTCTGGAGGTCTAGCTCCAGGACTAGAGGTCTTAACTGCTTTTGTATTCTGTCATTCTATCTTCTGCCCGATTCCCACTGCATTAACTGAGGCCCGTGTGGGCCAGCCCGTGCGACACACACACAGACACACACACATACGCACACACACACACACACACACACACACACACACGCGAGTGCGTAGAATTAAGGCATGAGATATGGGTGAGGTCTGGGCATTGCGTGTTATCTGAAGCTAAGATTCCATATAAATTTCCCGTTAGCATCTAATCAGATGGGTAGTTAGAAAGTACAATGTCTACTCAAGACTTTAGAGGACTCGCAGAAAAGTAAGAGACATAGCTGCTGCACCGAGCCTCCGGTCAGGGCCTCCGCCTGGCACAGGTGCCCCTCACAGGGCGGCTGCCCCTGCTCTCCTCCTGTTGTGGAGGGCCCGGCCTCCCCCCTGGCAGCACCTCCCATGCCCCCAGGCGCTCCTGCTGTCACAGTGCCCGGTGCACAGCCCTGGGCGCTGGCCGGCCTGCCCCGGTCTGTGGGCAGCTCGGTCTCCGCGCCCTGCCTGCTGAGAGAAGTTGATGGGAGGACTGTCTTAGGTGAGTGAAAAAAGGAGGGAAAGCCGTGCTCCAGCTGACCAAATGGAAATGAGAATTGAATGGCCAGGAGGAAGAGGCCACTGTACCTATAGCCTCATCCCTGGGAAAGATTAAAGATGTCTTGTCCTCTGAAGTGTAATCGTCAGTGAGTGGCTCAAGGGAGCGCCAGGGAGTGGGGCAGAGGGCAGGGTGTGCACACAGAGCCCCGGCCAGGGCTCGGCCAGCAGGGCCTGGGCACCTGCTGTGTGCTGGGCTCTGGGACCTGCATAATTACGCCCATTTTTTAGATGAGGCAACTGAGGCCAGAGAGGGTAGGTCAGTCTCCCAAGGCCACGAAGCCAGACGTGGAGGAGCTGGGCGGGAAGCCTGCTCCGTCTTCCGGGCGGGAGCTCCCGGGAGCGCCCCGCACCTCGGACACTGGCATGGCGTTCGAAGAGGCTGCCTGCCCCAGAGCTCGGGAAAGGGAGAGGCTCGGCCTGCAGACGACTGGAGCCTCCGGCCGGCCTGAGCCTCCCTGACTGACTTCACACGGTCGGCAGTGGAGAGGTGCCTGGCCGGGGCCGCTGGCTCTCGTGGGCGTGGGAGGAGCGGTGCCCGCCCTAGTGAGCGAGTGCAGGGACGCGGATGCATCTGTTGAAGTGAAGAGAGACACTCCAGGTCGCGGGGCCCTGCCGAGCCAGAGGGCAGGCCAGCGGGGGTGCGGCAGGAGGGTGCTTGGCCTCGCAAGAGGAAGGAACGGCCTGCCAGGTGGGGGAACAGCAGGAGCAGGAGTGTGGAGGGAGGTGTGAACAGGGCAGATGGGACCCCGGCGAGGGGCCTGGCCTGGTCCTCGTGGCCACAGGACAGGGGCCAACGTGGAAGGGAGCCGAGCAGAGTTTCTTTCGGGACAGCCCTGTGTTTTTAAACCTTCTGGCACTTGGGGTCACACCTGCTTGCCTGAGAGCTGATGTGAGCACACACCATCTCCGCCTGCCACCCCAGCCTGCTCAGGCCCGGAGTCTCCCTGCCCCTCAGGCTCAGCGCCAAGGCCCTCTCACTGAGCTTCCCTGGCCTCTTCCCGCCAGCCCTGCTGCTCACCTGGGTGGGACGGTCTCCCAGCGTCGCCCCCGGAGGGCTCCGTGCTGTGACCTCGCCCTCTGCCTCGTGCACTTGCCTGGGTGCCCCTCACCCATCGCCACAGCAGGTGTTTGCAGAATGGACACCTCGGTGCAGATGCCCAGCCTATGCTCTCGCATGCCGCTGCCCTTCGGGCTCCCTCTTCTCCCTGCAGCAGGAGGGCGTCAGCTCACCCCCCGGGCCCAGCCTGACCCTGCAGGCTGCGTCCTCCGTCGTGCTGACTCCACATTCTTAGAAGCGAAGGCTGTCAGGGCCTGTTCCCACCAGCCTGGCTCGTTCTGTAAACCCCTCAGACATTCATGAGACTCCTTCCTGGGGTGTCTTCTCATAGCAGGCTAGGAAAGGAACTTTCTCAGGCCCAGGAGGTGGATGTCAGTGGGGCACTTCAGGGCGTGGCCTCGGCCTAGGGCTTCGGGGCCAGTGGCATAGGGGCAGAGCCTGGGCACCAGCCTTCTTGCCCCGGTCAGTGAATGGGGTTGGCATTACCGAGGGGATGAGAGCTGGATGCAGGGAGGGCCCTGCCACTGGGTTGATGTTGATGAGAGTGAGAAGCTTTGCAGCATCTTCTCAGGAAGAGACCTCTGGACTGTCCCTCCAGTTGCCTCCTGGACTCACGGCCCAGGGACCTGGCAGCTGGCACCCGGCGTGCCCTGCCCGCTGACCATGCATTCTGCAAGCGGGTGGGAGGGAAGTGGGGCCGCCCAGCAGCCAGCCCCCACCATTCTGGCTCATCCACCAGGACTCCCCGAACCGGAGACCCTGCAGCGTCAGCTGCCCTGTGCCACCCGTCCCGCTCCGTGTGTGGAGATTAAGTGGACCTGGCCCGGGCACCTCCTGCCGAGCCATGAGGCCTGCCACAGTCTCGCCGAGTCTCTGACAGGCGCTCCGACGCGGGCCAGGTGCCGGCGTTAATGTGACTGCGAGGCGGCTGTCAGGTCGGTCTGTGTCCCGCCACGAAGATAAGCCCACGCCGGCCTGGCCCGCCCCGGGGGTTTCGCCGTCCGCTCCGATTCCCTGCCGCTCTGGCCTCTCCGTGCTGCGGGGCCCCGGCTGAGTGTCACTGTCCCGCTCTCTCCGCCTCGGGGGCTAGCCCTGCCTGTCCCGATGGGAGCAGGAGGTGGAGTGACGCCCGGATTCGCCTCAGCTCGCGGGAGTGGCAGCAGGATGTCAGACGCACCTGCTGCTCCGGATGCTCGGCCTTTCCCTCTTGGACAGAGTGACCGCTTCTCTCTCTGGCCTCCTTTGCGGCACAGATTTCTTTGGGTTTTAAAACACGCCCCTTCGCTGGCTGCAGCCCCTTTGTGGCCCTGGCCTCCTGAGTCCTGTCCTATTCGGGTGCCACCGTGGAGCCGAGAGGTTAACAGCTTGGGTGCTGGCAGGCTCTGCCCGGGAGTGTGCCACCTTGAGCGCCACTGGAAGGCTCCGGGCCTCGGTCGCCTGGGGAAGTGGGGACGGTCACAGTACCGGCTGCACAGGTTGCTGCGGTCACTGAGTCAGTGTGATGAAGCCCTTAGCTCAGCCTGGGCCTCACGGGGCCAAGGGGCCACGGTGTGGGCTTCCTCGTTGTTGACCAGAGGGGAGGGGGCAGAGGGCCTGCTGGGAGCCTGGCCCAGGTCTCGCTTGCTCTGGCTCTGGGTGGTGGTGTGTTCTGGGCAGGTCACTTCCCCTCTGAGCCCTGGTTCATCGCCAGCGTGAAGGTGATGTGTCAGGAC